GGGGCGTTTTCGCTTCCGTGGTGCCGCCGCCCGCTCCCCCGCGCCTGCGGCTCCGTGCGTCCGCCCCTGCCGGGAGCCCCCTGGACGGGACCCAGACTACCAAGAACCCGAGAGCCGCCTGGAAATTCAGAGGGGACTGAACATCCCTGCTCAAGACTTACTATGGAGAGTAGGATTGTGTAACAGAAAAATAGGTCCCAGTCTTTTTCTTGGGTACCTCTTGATTCCGTGGATAGTTCTGTCATTCACACTACTGTCCCTGTATAAACTCGGCATAAGCAAAAAATACTTTAACCTAAGATCTAGCAAAGAAATCTGAATTATAGTACTTTTTTTTACTTTTCTGCAACATTGGAGTTTGACCCCAGGGTCCCTGCACTGAGCTACGCCTTCAGCTCTTTTGTGGGGGGTACCAGGAATCAAACTCAGGACCTTGCACTTGCCAGGCAGGTGCTGTGCCACTGAGCTGTATCCCCGGCCCTCTCTCAGGTCTTTTTTAACTTTTATTTTTGAGACAGGTGTCTCACTAAGTTGCTAAGTTGTCCAGGATGAGCTCTTGTGATCCTCCTGCCTCAGCCTCCCAGACTGCTGGGATTACAGCCACTGAGTGACTTTTTTTTTAAAGTGTGAAAATAAAGACACAGACTGCAACCTCTCAAAAATAAAAAATAAAATTCATTTATTGAAAAAGAAAAGCTTAACACATGACCCATGTGTACAACCCAACATGTGATCTACAAGCTCTGGCACACTCCACACCTCTACATACACCATGCTGGAAATAACCTCCCATGAGGCACATAACACGGCACTGCCTTGTCATCCAGACCTACTGACCAGCAGCTCTGACTCCTCACAGCCACACACCCACAAAATGGTTTACAATAGAGCCACTGATTTCATTGACCACCGAAAGAAAACGGCTTTTCCAGTATCACCTTGATTTACACCGAAGAACATGGCGAGCAACAAGCACTTGCCACCCTCAGTCCCAGCTCCTTCCTCTGATGCCCTGGGCAGCACCGCTTACGTCCACTGGCCAGGGACCGGCGCAGGGACGCAGGAAAGAGAAGAAGCCCAACAGGCTGACACTCGGGGCGAATTGCTTCGCACCCTGCCCGAGTAACAGCCTGAAAGCATTGGCCGTGATTTCAAAGACAACCCGTATCACTCTCCTTCCCCTAGTGGACTCAGAGATTTGGAATGTATGTTGGAAAATTGAATTCTAGCCGGGCATGGTGGCACACACCTGTAATCCCAGCACTCGGGAGGCTGAGGCAGGAGGATCATTGCAAGTTCGAGACCAGCCTGGGCTACAAAGTGAGCCCAAGGCCAGCCTGAACCACATAGCGAGACCTCGTCTCAAAAAGACAAAAAAAAAAAAATTGAATTCTAAGGCAGACTTGAAGCCGCCTTCCCGCCACGGCCTGCCGCTCCTACCGCCTGTCTCCTGCTGGAGGAAGCGGCACTGTGACTCCCTGGCGGTGGTGCTGGGGCTGCCTTAGTACTGGCCAGCTACAGAAAAAAGACACAAACAGAAACACCAGCCCGGGTACAGAGCCCATGCTGAGCGGGGAAGAGGGTGCTGTAAACGGACATAAACTGAGATTTTGCACTTTCAAGAAATATGAGGTGAATGTGTAGTGTTAAACGCAGATCATACTGTGAGAAGGGAAAAATTTGAGAAGGAAAAAGTTGAGCTTTTTTTATAACATTTGGGCTCAACCTTAGGACTACAGAGCACACTAGCTTAGTGACACGGCACAGGCTTGTGCCGGGGAGGGGACAGCAGCCGATGCAAGTGGCGGCTCTTGTGAGTGGTGAGGTTCCTGGGCAGAGTGAACAGCAAATGCCAGGTCATGCCCCTCGCAGGAAGTGCCTGCGTGGAGGAGGACGCTCCCCAGGGAGCTGGGACCCTGTGCCCAAGAGCAGCATCTGGAGGAGAGAACCGAGACGGAGCTCTGGGAAAGCTACTCCGGCCTCACCCGGGACGCAGGACAGCAGCATCTGGCCAGAAATTCCTCGCTGCACCCAGCAGACCAGGCCTAGTCCCAGAGGCCTCTGGCTCTGCCGCCCCATCATGGTCAGAGCTCAGCTTATGAGGTGCTTCCTCACCAGAGGACCAGGGTCAGCACACAGCGGAAGGGACCCCTGAGGAAACACCGGGCAGCCTGGGACTCCAGGAGCCCGGGGAGCAGCAGGACTCTGAGCTGGCCAGGGCGCTGCCTGCAGCGGGGAAGGATGGGCTCCCACCACCTTCTGCTGACCCTGTCTACTCGGGACCTCTGACTTGTGCGTCTAGCAGCTCCGGGAACTCAGAGGCCTCCACCGAAGCAGGCGGTGGTAGGCACAAGTCTTCACAACAAAAGCAACTCTCCAGGCGGCTACAGCAGGATAGCCAGGACTGCCGGAGCCCGAGCTGGGGGCAGGAGCTGAGTGTCCGCGCCCGCTGGGGTCACATCCAACCTGAGACTCGAGAGGGCGGGCCCTTCCTAACCCCAGCTGGGACCCGGCCTCCTAAGCCCCTGTGAGACCCCGAAAGCAGAAAGGGTGGGTGCAGAGGGTTACCCTCCGGGGAAGCACAAGTAAACGCTGGCGACAGCTTCCTAGCGCAACACACTGCCAGGCAGGCTGGCAGTCACCGGGGGAGAGAGTTCGCTTTCCCCAACCCTCTACCTGGAAGGCAGCCCCGCTGGCTTTGGAACAAGAGAAAAAGAAAAGGCTGGTTGCCAGGCGGAGCCAGGGCGCTCGGAAGCTTGCATGAAGCGCACACGCACAAGCCTGATGTATTCTTGCTGTGCTCTCTTCACCAACTTTCAAGGCAAGGTGGCCTCCCCGAGGCTATGACAAGCAGGGAGGCGCTGGGGGGAGGGCGCAGGGCTCCTTAGTGTTCTGCGGCTCCTCTCCCAGAGCAGGGCACCGCACGGAGAGTGTAAACGACCACGTACTGTGCGTAGTGTTGGATCAGCTGTGGCAAATCCCGCGCGCTGAGCCTCAGTGCTTGTGTACCTGATCTTGGCCTCCCGCCTGCAGCAGGCGAGCGTCTTCCCGGCACCACGGCAAGGACGCGGCTGAGGCTGAAAAATGGGCCAAACACACAAAGCAACCACCGGACCAGCCACCCAGCAGCGCCTGCTCTCCGCCTGGTGCAGGAGCAGCGGGTGGAGGCAGGACCCGGCCGCCCCAGGAGAGGCACGCAGGTGAAGCTGCCCGGAAGGTGTGGGGCCTTCGGGGGCCTCCACACGCACTGGCTGCGGCAAGTTTCGAGGCTGAGTCAAAGTTTACTGAGGAAGAAACGATTCATAAGAATCCCAGATTGTACCAAAAAAAAAAAAAAAAATTAAATAAAGAATCCCAGATTGAAAGTCAGAATCTAAAAACAAAAACCTAATCTTAAATAATATAAATATTCCCATTTCGGCAGCACTTCATGTCTTTTCAGAGCTGTGCAATGAAGGACACACGACGGTGACCCACACGGAGGAACTCAAGGGGCGACGGGCCCAGGGGTCCAGCCAGCGAGGGAGAATAAAGATTAGAAGCTTTCGGGGGCTGGTTTTCAACCATGAGGTAGGTCCAGACGCCCCTGGAGGGTTGAACAGGTGGAAGAACCCTGCGGTCCAGTGTCTGAGGGAGCATGGGAAGGACCCTGCCATACAACGGGGGCGGGAGCCCCACGCACTTGTCCAGGCCGGGCCCAGGAAAGGAGCAGTTGTGAGGCGGAGACACTGAAGTGTTACATAAAGTGAGCTGTGCGAGAGGAACGCTAGGGCGCATCGGGTCGGACAAAGGAGGCAGACGCTCCAGGAGGAGCCACCTGGGGACCGGGCCCCAGGGTCGGGCTGACAGGAAGTACAAAGGCGTGGTGACACCGCTGTCACCATCGGCACCCGGGTGCCTGTGACCCACCCTCCCTGCTGCCCGCCTCTCGCCTGGGCCTGGGCACCAAGTGTCAGGCAGAGAGAACCAGACAGCCTTTCCCCAGAGGCTGGGCCGCACGAGGCGCCGGGGCAGGTCCCGGGACACCAGGGCGGACGGGCGGGTCAGAGAATGTACCCAGCTCGATAGGCAAAGGCACTGGAGGAATTGGTGGAGATGGGGGCAGCTCCGGGCTGGATCAGCTCAGAGAGGGCCTCGTAGGTCCCCACCACGAAGCCCACAAAGCCCAGGATGCTGATGAGGGCGTCCTTGGCGAGGGTGAGCGGGCTCAGGCCCTCGGAGGAGTAGGTGGTGACCTCCAGGAGCGGCGGGATGATGAGGGCCAGGGCGCTGCTGCTCACGGAGCCCACCAGGGAGATGACCAGGTCCAGGCGCGGGATGAGGACGGCCAGCACGCCTGTGGAGAGAGCACGTGCCTGGTCAACCCTGCCCAGAGCTGGAGAGAGCGCCTCGCTCCACAGCAAGCTCCGCGGCTGTCCCACGACAGAATGACAGTGCTGGGAGCTCTCAGCCATGACCCAGCCCAGCCTCGCCCTCTGCCTACAAGACCGCGGATGCCTGGAGACATGGAACAACCAGGGCTCCTGGCTCCTGCGGCTTTCCTCTTTCTAAACAAAAAGAGCCAAACTCTATTCCAGGATGATCTGGTCCCTAGCAAACGGTGAGGCTGCGGAGCAGGAAAGCGGGCAGACCGTTCCGAGCAAGTGCTCATTTTCTTACCACCAACGGTCCATGCAGCACACGCATCTCAATGGACAAGAAGCAAAAGAGGAGTGGGAGTGGTGATGTACGCCTGTAATCTGGATCCTGAGTTCAAGTCCCTGCCTAGGCAACTGAGACCTTGTCTCAAAATTGAAAATGAAAAGGCCTGGAGATGTAGCTCAGTGACAGAGCACATCTGGGTTTGATCTCCAGTACCATCACAAACTTAAAAAAAAAAACGAAACCAAGGGGAGAAACCTTGCTTCCTCTGGAAAAGACATCACGCTCAATCCATTAGACGGAGCATTCACACAGGTGGGAAACGCTCTGTCCACAGGATGACCACTGGCCAAGCCCCACAGGGCAAGCAGCAGCTTCCACAGCTGAACTCGGCAGAGGGGCGGGGGGATGGTGGTGCATCACGCCTGCCACTGCAGACTCGGCCGCTGTTTAAAGCAAAGAGGAAAAGACGGCATGGGCCACACTCAGCCCTGTGCCCACGGGTCACTTGTCCCCTTGCTCCCACGGCACTGATCTTTCCAACAGCTGAGCAAAGGCCCGTGTGTCACAGGCTCGCTGGGGACCACCGGCACTGGCATTAGACTTGTGTGTCCAAATGCTGGCAGGTTCTTTTACACCTTTTCTCCAGTTTTCCTGTTGGCCCAGTATGAAGACCAACTGCTTCCTCCTTTGTGCAGATGCCATTAACTGTCAAACGACTTCTCAGGGCCCAGGGTATAGCGGGGACATAACACATGCTAATGTCATTGCCAGTGTTCCCCTGATCACTTGTGAAAAGCACATCAACTTGTCAGTCATCAAATAAAGACTGGTGGCCGCTCTTCCCCCACCCTCACTACTGCCCTGCAGCTCCGCTGCCCAGTACAGCAGCCGCTGGCTGTTTAACTCTAAGTGAACTACAATCAGACTCACTCACACCAGCCACATTCCAGAGTCTCAACAGCCTCATATGCCCCAGGTCTACTGCCTCGCCCCATGCAGAGGCGAAACATTTCCATCACCACAGAGCACTGGCATCCCGGAGCAGCTGGGTGGGGCCTCAGGTCCGGGGGTCCGTGATCTCTCACGTCCCCAGGAAACAGAGGCCCAGGGAGGTCTGCTGACTAACAGCGGAGGGCTGCAGCCAGCACTGAACCCAGCACCTCAAGTCCCTGGGACAGAGACCTGAGGGACCCCAGGAGCTGGAAAGCACAGGGTTCCCACAGAGGGAGGGGTGCAGGGGGTCCGGCTGGTGAGCAGGAAGTTTGTGCCCGGGAAGAAGTGGGGCGAAGACACCTGGGCAGCTCCCCAGGGATGCAGCACACACCTCTAACAGACGGCCCAAGGCGGCCCCGACCTCCCTCAGCACCGCCAAAGGGACCGGCAAGGGTTTCAGAGCCTGATTATAAAGGGGCACAGGACACGGCGCCCCAGATCCTGCTCTGCACCCCAGGACAGGCCTTCATCTTCCCTCCTACTAGTCAGCCTAACGGCAATTCCCATGAACCTCTCACCGATCTCATGCCTTTGGAGAGCAGACAAAAAGTGCTGGCTTTTAACTTGCCCTGACAGTTAGAAAAAAAGGAAGTGTGTTTCCATCCTTAGCTCTCTCTAAAATAACCAGAGCTGGTGACATTCCCCAGCCCGGGGGCTGAAACGGAGGAAAATCGGAGGTTAAAAAAACTGCAAGTTGGTGACAAAGTGCTATTTCTCACTCCGGGTGACGGGAGGCTCACCAGGCGCCGACCTGCTGGGACCCTGCCGGCGACCCGGGCCCTCTGAGCTCCGGGCTCCTCGTGCCTGGCGTCAACCTCACGGTGACAGCACCAGGGGCTCCGTGGGGGTGGAAACGGCACGGAGGCAGCAGGCAGAACTGAGCCCCTGGGAGTTCGTTGCCTGGATTCCCTTCCCAGCTGCTAAGTGGGGACGTCCAGTGAGATGACCGCAGAAAGCACACAGAGCACTAAGCCACACGGTCACGCTGTGTATCTGCCGACCTCAGCAGCCGTCCCTGCTCTACAGGCAGCTGTGTGGCCCAGCGCAAAGGCGCTCACCATTCTGAGCCTCAGTCTATTTGCCTACAACATAAGGTCACGGCATTAACACTGGAAGACCGCTGAAGTCACAGCCAAGTTGGAAGGTGAAGAGACCGCACGGTCCAGCTCTGGGCACGTGGAGCACGTTCGGGGTGTTTCCCTCAGCTCACGGGCAGCTGGGAAGCGCCAAGTGCTGCCCGAGAGCCGCAAGGCAAAGGCTGGCGTTCCCGTCCTGGGACACACGGCTGTGCCGAACAGGCAGCTTCCGCTTGCCTGGCTTTGTACCCACGCAGGGAGTGCGAGCGATTACTCAAGGGCCGATTATACATGCAGGGACACCCGAGCCTGTTCCAGAGGACAGAGCCCTGCAGGAGAGGAGGCGGTGGCTGGTCCCCCCTGGCCTGGAGGGCCTGTCACCTTACCCTCTCACACCAAGCTGGAAGGTCAGATGCACACTTGGCAACAAGAGGCGAGTGTGGCCAGAGATGGCTCCACCCTGCGACAGACAAGAGGTCCGTGGAAACAAATAGAAGCCCATGGGGTCAGAATCAATTCTCGCATCAGACAGAGGTCTCCCACTTCACAGTATTCTACAAGCAATCTAAAACCTGTTCTTGTTTTTACCACAAAGGAGATGCAAGATACGCCCGCCTAATGTCCTTCACAGAGATGCAGAAAGGAACGACCACCCTTACCGGTGGCAGGGCTGGACCCTAAGCCAGGCCTGACATTGGAGAAAACGGGGGAGAAAGCATGAAAAGTAAGTCCCCACTATGACAATAACAGGGCAGAAGAGTAGGACGCCCAAGCCAAACTGGCATCCTCCCCAGGGTCCCACACCAGGCATCTGTGCTTTGCCACCATGCAAAACGCTCTCCTTCCAGGGGCACAGTGGCTCTCTGGAGAAGTGACACTGTATTCCCTATTGCAGCAGCAGGAAGCGGGGCTGAGGACAACCTGCCCTGGGCCACAGGATGAGTCAAGAGGCTCTAATGCATTACGAAACCTCTTCCCTCTGGGTTCAGACACACTGAGAATATGGTCTTGCAGCTGCTGAGCCATCAGCAGACAAACGGTCATGTTCAGAAAGGGAAATGACTGGCACGCTGGAGTCTGTGGTTCTGGGCCCACCTCGGACAGAGCTGACTCCTTATGCACAAGAGCACAGCAAAGCACTTGAGAGAACAAACACACATTCACAGGAACACTCAGACCCTTCCCGCTCCGTGCGGGGAAGCTCTTGCTGCTCTTTCACTTTAATCAACGGGTGAAACCCATCCTGTTACTTTTTAATGTCTAGCAATCCGCCTTCAAAATTAGTCACAGTCTTAAATAGATATATAATTTCACTTGAGAGGGTGAAAAATACAAGAGCCAGGAAACAACCTAACTCTCTATTAAAGGAGTAGTGTAACTATTATCCACCAGTACAACGGAATGTCAGGCAGTGGTGAAAATATTAAAGAACATGTACATGTTCATGATAATAATATTAAATAAAATGAGAACAAAGTTATGCATATCACATGACTGCAAATATTTTTACAATGTACCAATGAGGATTAAAACAAAGATAAAATGCAAAATAAAAATTATTGTTAGGTCAGTGGGATGCTGAGAACTATTTTAGTCCCCAAATGTCTTTACACTGATTTTCCTCTTTAAGAGCAGTATTTAGGTAGAAATTTAAAACCAAGCCCCAAGCCAAGCCACAGAATTTTGGCAGTGGGAGAAACCGCAGAGATTACCGGCACTTCACACTTCACAGCTGAGGAAGCTGAGGCCCACACGGGCCCCTGGGAAGCACCCCAGAGTGGCACAGGTGATTAATGAGGCCCCTCTCTTCCCCACAGCGGCAAGGCTGTCAGTGAGAAAAGCCGCATGATGCCGAGAAGCCGCGTGGTGTGGAGAGTCCTGCTCTACTGGGGATGTTCTGAGGCTGCGCGTTCCAGTCTGAACAGGCCTCAAAACGATATGGTTTTATGTTATCATGTCTTCTACAGTAGGTTTTTGAGCATCTCAGGCCTAAATGAAGCAAAATGTTTCACGTGGTAAATGCCACTGAGAATTCGTACCACTGAAGGACAAGTCAGCGCCCTATGGAATCCACCGAAAGTATTTATATCACCCCTCCCGGCTCCCCGGGGGGAGCTGGCATCTCCCGGGGGCCTCTCCTCCTACACAAGCTCCACACCTTAACCAGCTGAGTCTGCACTGCCACACCTGAGAGCTAGGAGGAAATCCTGTCCAGTTTGGTTACACACTGAGCACCAGCCTCTGAATTGGTTTCCCCTCCTTTGCGCTCCAATAGGCCAAAATTAAGCAACAAAGAGTAGGTGTGCGCTACAGCAGTCTTCGAGGGCTGGGGAGACCGGTGAGGGGGCTGAGCTGCAAGGAGGGGGCTGAGCTGCAATAAGGTGGCTGGGGCTCTGGGCTGGACCCAAGCCTCCTGTTCCTCTTGGGCACAGAAAGCAAGGACGCAGAGATAAGGCTGGGAAAGAGGCAAGTGCCAGAAACAGCAATCACACAAGCTGCCCTGGAGGTGGACAAGTATAACTGAAAGCAATCCTTACATCAAAGATTTCAAATCACAGACCTCGCGCCCAAAGACCTGAAAGAACAGAGAAGCAGGGACAAAATGAACTCACATAAACACAACGAAGCCGATGCTACCCTGAAAGGCCTCTCCTGATTGCCATAACCACTTCAAAGTCTCCAGGGAAGGTAAGAGCAGCCAGAGAGCTCTCGGAGACAGGGCGCCTCTGTAATAGGATGACGGTGCAACGCTCAGCCACGACAGATCAGAGAAGGGAAAGACAGCCGTGTGCGCCTGAAGATCAAAAGCAGCCTTGCCTCTGGAGCATCGCCCTGGAGAAGGGAGGCGGGACTGCAGGGAAAGCCAGAACAATGAAGCAAAAACCAAGAGGTGTTTAAGGATAACAAGAGGTCCGCTGAGCTGGGGACCTGAGCCTCCTGTGGGGTGTGGTGGAAATAAACCCTTTCTATAGGAACCACTTTGAAAAAGGGTAAATTATTTGAACTACCAACACCCTTTAGATTCTAGAATCAGGCCCCACAAACCACTGTCCACATGGAAGCTGTCCCCTCGGCCCGAGCTATGGCACCCACAGGGGACATGCACACGTCTGAACCAACCACCAGGAGGCGCTGGCAGAGGTTACTTTCTACAGTGCAGCCGCCTGTCTTCCTAAGACAAGCCTGCAAAAGCAAGATGCCCTCAGTTCCTTTTTTTTGGTCAATTGCTCCAAGCCTGGCTTAGCTACTTTGTGGGCTACCCAGAACAGAACCTGAAATCAGCTAAGTAAGAGCTACAGGCCAGACTCTTGTTGGCCCTGAGCCCCGTGGGGAGCTGCCCACCCTCCGCCTTACAAGAGACCCTGAGGAGAAACTGCACGCTCAACTCGGAAGGTCCCAGGACGCCTTCACTTCCTTAGTTCAGGTGAGCTCTTTCCACATACAGACTCAGGATACCATGGCTCCACCCACTATCCTAGAAGCAAACTACGAAAGGAAGCGCAGAGGCCCGAAGGTTCTCTGGCGGACGGGCATTGGTCCACTGCTCACACTGCTGTGGAGGGCAAGAGGGACAGACAGCCTCTTACCTGCCCTTTGCTTGCTAACAGGCAACCAGCAAAGTTATTTCTGATTTCCTGGACTAGGAGCAAATGCTAGAGAACATTCACATTAGTCTTTGCTAAAATATTCAACTCAGGTTCAGGTAGAAATCACACCGACCAATCTTCATTCCAGAAGCTGGAATTGAGCAAGGAAATTCTCACTATAATAAGCAAGAGGGTCTTGTCCCAAGAGATTAAAACCTAAAATAAAAATGCCAACAATGATAAATGTATACATCAAGCACTTTATCTGGAAAACAACGGCAAGTCTCCTAGAAATTTAAATTAGATATTATGGACATTTTTTTTTCTTTTTTTTTTTTAATGGACATTTTTTTTCATGGATTCCCTACTCTACCAATTCATAGAAACAACAAGAACAAATTAATTTTTTTTACTAATTTCTATCAGTTTTCAACTAAGAGCAAATAAGGTGATAACCTTTCTTAACTCTCAGCACTTGGCATGTAGTTGGGGGAAAGGGTGTAAGACACAAAGAATAAAACACCGAGGTGAATTAACAGACATTTTCTAGGAAACGTATTTCATAAGACAGACATCAAGCACGGCTATCATCCCAGCTCCAAGTGAACTGTGAAAAAATGCAGAACTACTTGAAAAAACTACACGTATCCTCTATCAAAGCACCTGTCCTCACTGTGACCTGGGACAGGCAGCCGTCTTGCAGGCTTTTACCTCTCTCATATGGGGTAGTAACGATGTGCATTTACCTGGAGCTACAACCTTCTCCACAGCAGCTTATGCCCGTCTATACACCTGTCCTCCTCCTTGCACCCCTGGGATTCCTCACTGCATCTGGCGTGCCTCGAGTGGGAAGGGAGTGGAGTGCCAGGTTCTGCCCTCCAGCACAGGAGGCTTCCCTTCCCTATGCAGGGGACGCCAGCCCTCGGCACCGGGCACCCTTTGGGGGACGTGGCAATTCTACACTCACACGTCAGGCACACCATGGCAGTGCGCACGGCCAGGTCCACCAGCAGCTTGCAGGGCTCGGGCACTCGGGACACGAAGAAGGGGACGATGATCTCAGCCGGGACGTAGAACTGCAGCCCGTAGGTAAAGAAGATCCCGATGGAGTAGAGCAGCTTCACCGACTGGTACAGCCTGCAGAGAGAGCAGGGCGCTTCCAGCAGCCGGCCCAGCTGCTCAGCCTTACCGGAGAGAGTGCAGAGCGGCCCGAGGCACACGGCCTCAGACCTGCAGCTTCGTTCTGAGACTTCCCTCCAAGACGCGCTTTCACGTGTGCACTGAAACACACTTTCAAAGTATTTTACTTGCAGCCTTGTTAAAGAATGAGGGATTAAAAATACGTTAACGAGTGGGAAAGCTGGCTAAATAATCGTGGTGTCCCTGCGTAGCTCTTAAAAACTATGACACAGGTCTCTAGGCCCTGACACGGAACTATCTGTACAGTGTGCTACCGTGTGAGAAAAGCAGGAAGCAGCGGTGTCTCCCGAGCGCTGCAGTTGTCAACACAGAAGACAGGAACACGCCCTGCGTACACACAGGACATGCGCACAGCAGCTCCGCAGCTCAGAAGGAAACACAGGACAGTAGAAGTGTGGCTGCCTCTGACAGGGCAGTAAAAAGTGAATTTTCTGTGTACCTGCTGAACTTCCGGAAACCTCTGCCGTAGCCATATGGGCAAATAACCTTTCAAGAGTTGAAATTAAAAATACAATTAAAATATGACATGCCTATTTATAGTCCTGTCCGACTCAGGGCTCCCTAGAATGAGATGGTGGCCGGCGCAGGGCCCACGGACAGGAGCAGAATCTTTTCAACTCCACTGTGGCCCCTTCCGACGAAGCTTCAGGAGCAGCTTGCCCGGAAGGGCTAACTCATCATGGGGTGTCCCTTCCCCGCACCAGGGCCTGCGTCGGACAGAGCGGAAAACGGTGCCTGCTGATGAGGTGCCCTGTGCTACATGCTGACACCACTGAATAAACGTTTTCCTCAACTTTCTGCATCTGTCCTCATCCAAAGTCTCACCACTCAGAGCTCCAAAAAGCTGGGCCCTGGGACCGGGGATGTAGCTCAGTGCCACAGCACCTGCCTGGGCAAGCGCAAGGTCCAGAGTTTGATTCCCGGTTCCAAAAAAAAACCAAACCAAAAGGCAGACACGGACACTGGCAGATCAGCCAGGCTGCACCGAAAGGTTGTTGCTATTTCTTTGGGCACTGACACGCTTCTCAGCATGCATAAACAGCCGCTCTCTCTAGCGAGGTTTTAATCTTCAAAAGAGAATTATTGCCTACTACACACTGCGTCACCTACCTTTGTTTTATTTTTGCAGTGCTGGGCATTGAGCCCAGGGTCTCATGCGTGCTAGGCAAGCGTCTTACCACTGAGCTACATCCCCAGCCCTATCTATCTATCTATCTATCTATCTATCTATCTATCTATCTATCTATTTATCTATCTAGTACGGGAACCAGGGCCTTCACACTGAGCTACATCCCTGGCCCGTTTTTTCATTTTTTTCTTAAATTTTGAGACAGGGTCTTAGACTGGCCAATAAACCTGTGATCCTCTTGCCTCAGCCTCCCAGGTAGCTGGGATCAGTCATGCCCCACCATACCCAGCTGACATCTAGCTTTCTAGCAAGCCTTTCACTACGCCTTGGTGCTGCCCCACAGGACACCCATCAGTTAAAGACAAAAGACTCCCAGCGCCCCGCCACCAGTGAGATCCACCTGCGTGTCCAGCCGTGGCTGCTGGGGAAGGGACACTTCAGAAGCTAGCTTTGCCGTCCTCTCTCCCTGGCTTAAGGTAAACAGAGCAGACACGTGGCCCTTCTGGGCTCAGGATTTCTCAGGAGAAACACCCTATCAGTCAGCTGCTCAGCACACGGATTTGGCACAAGCCCTCACAGGGCTCACCCACCCAAACCGTACGGGAGGGCTGGCAGGGCAGCCAGAGGGTGAACCAATGACGGGCTGACTGAAGAGGAAGCAAGAGGAGGAGTCCAGCACCTTCCAGCACTCACGCTTTTTAAGACAGCCTGTGCCCCTGGGCTCCCATCCTCCCCCACGTACCAGCAGTTGGGGAGGTTGAGGGTGATGCTGCCTTGGATACTGGCTCCGAACTGCAAGTACCCCAGGGACCCCAGGCTGATGTAGAGGATGGTGACAATGGCCATCCCCAGGTACAGGATGAACGAGAACTTCTGTGGATCCTTCATTTTGTTTTCAAGAGGCAGAACCTTTGAGAAAGTAATGAGAAAGGAGAGAAAGCACAGGGAAAAGCAAAATTAACAGCCCACAAAGTACTACCGTTGGGAAAAGAGTCACTTCTTGGTCCTCAGAATTCTTCAAAAGCATGTTTTCCTTTACTGAACGGCTCATGTTACTGCATCAGAAACAACTCTCAGGACCAGAAGGGACCCCAGAGCTCAGCTGTCTCACCAGGAACCCTGAGAGGTCAGGTGGGGCTGGCCAAGGGCCCAAGGCCCCTAGCGCAGGCCAGCCCTGTCTTCCTGTCACTAGGGGGCAGCGCGTGGCGACCAGCAGGCTCCTCACAACAGGCCTCCAGCAAAACCTTAGACAGCAGCTCCCTGCTCACTGTCTCAAAGTGCAAAACACAGGCCAGGAGGGACAGCGGCTGCTGTTGTTCCCTAAAGCAACCCTCTACCTCCGGCCCAGCTGCCAGGGGTGACAAGTTCACCTCCAAGTCAGAGAAACCAAGGGGCAGGGCACAGGGTGACTTAATCGAGGACCTGGAGACTCAGCTGCTACCCTGAGCGCAGCTCCCAGAGGCCCCTTTCCAACCACTGACCCTCACGGCTTCCTCAGTCACATCGGGGCCTTTCTTCCACTCTGGCACAAGCAAAGGCTGCTACTGAAGTACATTCACAGCAGGGGTGCTGTGACCATCCTCTCGGCCTGTCCCGCAGTGCCGGTGGCCGGGAGGCACAGCGGTCCGTGCTGTGTACCCCTCCCCCCCACCAAGCGAGCGACCCCTTCCGAGGGGTGCCAGGCTCTGCATCCCACATGGCCTGCAGCCCCTGTCCCTGCCCCAGCTGCAGGATCAAGCTTCGGCTGATCTCACCAAGCACAGCTTCCTGGCGTCAGCTTCCTTCACACCAGGAGCTGCCGTGGACAGGCAAGGAGTGCATGTCCTGTCTCGGCAGGCCCCGGACGGGGTGCAGGCGGACAGCAGGGAGGCGGGATGGCGTCTAGCCTCAGCTGCACCCCGCCACTCGGGATGAAGAGTCAAAGCAGCAGGGCTCTCATTCTCCCAGTGGAAAATACAAAATATCCTGAAGTGTCGGGACTGTTCAGAGAACAATGCTGCGGCCAAGCCTTGGCTGATGAAATGAAGCGAAAACAGCTACTGCGCTGGGCTTCGAGGGAAACTGTACACATTTGGTACAACGCTCCTTATGACGGGCCCTGGGCATCTCCCCACGCATCTCGGCCTCTTCTCTCGGGGCCTGAGTTCTTGGGGCCGTATTCTGTCTGCTAAAATACGGGCCCACGGAGGCCTCTGACCCAGCAACAGGAATCCATGCTGAGATGGTTGAGGCGAGACGGTCCTTATGGGCAATGGGGGCCAGGAATGCGCAGCGGAAAAGTTAAAACCTCAGAAGGATCAGGGATCTAGGCACCATGTCCTGCAAAGCGTCCCCCAGACTGTCGGACTACAGACTACACCCACCTGACTCCTCAGCATTTTGACAAAAAATCTGTCTGGCATTTAGGGGTCTTTTGTTTGTTTGTTGTTGTTTTTTGAGGCAGGGTCTCCCTATGCAGTTCAGGCTGGCCTCAAACTCATGGTGATCCTCCTGCCTCTGTTTCCCAAGTGCTGGGATTACAGGTGTGGGCCACCACGCCCAGTACATTTTTAATAAATAAGGTACTAATGAAATCAAACAGGGAGAGAAAGAAATGCCAGGAAAGGAGAACAATTATCTCATTCTCAAACCCACTGGTCAGCAGAGAACTTTCTTTCAGAGAAGAGGCCTGGGCCACTATAAAAAACACAAGTGAAAATCAAAATAATACAGCTGAGTGGAGGTGCCCCAAGGAACTTGGAAGGCCAAGGCGATAACAGCAAGAAGCCAGGCCAGGAATGAGATCTACTACTCATTTACCCACAGAAAATACAGCACACCGATGTTCCAGGGAAGAATGACTCACTGCCTTATGGATTCAATGATGAACCCAGTAATATTATTAATAAATGTCAAAACCTAAGGAACGCTACCACGTGTCAGAGTGTGCAAAGCACTTCACCTCCTTCGGTCCTGACCGCTACCAGTCAGCAAGCTCACTTCTCAGAAGCAAACCAGGAAGGCTCAGAGAGCCCGGGGCCTTGCACGGGGCACGTGCCGCTCTGGCGGAGCCGCAGCCCAGCACTTACCATGCCGATGCCTTCAAACGCAAAGATGGCTGTGCCAAAGAACAGCGGGTAGGTCTTCCAGGATGCTACCAAGGGCAGGCGGCTGGGGTTTGGGATCCCCTGAAAGAGATGAACAGAACAAAGTGAAGGGCTACCTAGAGATTCAAGAGCTGAACCCCAACTGAAAGAGGTCAGACCTTCCCCTAATTCCAAGATTTCACCAAGGGACAGGCAGGAGATTTAGGGACACTTCGCCTTGGCATTTTTTCCTCTCTCTAGGTGGAGAAAACCCTCTTTGCTTTGGGGAAAGACGAGCCCGCTGTACTATCAAATACTCCAATGACGCTCGTCTCCCATAGAGTAACGTGCTCCCGCTAGGTGATCCCAATTCCCAGACACCTGATACAAATAAAAAGTATCAAAGATGATGGAGGCTGCACAAAGCTATTTAGCAAAGTAACCGAAAACCTCCGTTTCCAACACTCCCAAACAAAAGTTAAGAAATTAATCGTACACCACCTGTATCACAGAATATTACACACTGTCTAGAAAGTGTAAACTGGGGTAACTAAGTAGAACATGGAAAAAGATTTAGGAAGTCACATTGAGAAAATGTTTTTAAATTTATATAATCACCCTGCTAATGATATATTAACCCCCCCTTCTTTCTCTCCCTGTCTGTCTCCCTTCCTCTCTCTTTCTGGTTTGCAGTCCTAGGGATTAAACCCACAGTCTCACATATCAAGCATGCACTCTACCACCGAACTACAACCCCAGCTTTTTTTATTTTTTTGAGACAGAATCTCATTAAGTCGCCCTAGCTAGCCTCAAACTGTGTCCTCCTGCCTCAGCCTCCTGAGTAGCTGGGACTGCAGGTGTGCATCATCATGCCAGGATTTGTGTTGTTTCTTTTTTTTTTTTTTGTCTTTTTCAGATGGTGTCACTATATAGTTCAGGCTGGCCTTGAGCTCACTTTGCAGCCCAGGCTGGTCCTGAACTCACAATATTCCTCCTGCCTCAGCCTCCTGAGGCTGCACAAAGCTAGTTAGCAAAGTAACTGAAAACCTCCATTTTCAATACTCCCAAACAAAAGTTAAGAAATTAATCATACACCATCTGTATCACAGAATACTACACACTGTCTAAAAAGTGTAAATTGGGGTAGTCCTCTGAGTGCTGGGATTATAGGCATGCAACACCACGCCTGGCAATTTTTTATTTTTTTCTTGTCAATGAGATTTCGCATTTGGAAAATATCGACAGGCACATGAAAAGAGTGTTGAGAAACACTGGGGAAAACAGAGCAAAAAGAACATTACAACATGGGCAAATAAAAAGGCAACTCTTGGCTGGGCACGGTGGTGCAGTCCTATAATGCTTGTACTTTGGGAGGCTGAGGCAGAAGGACTGCAAGTTTGAGCCTACCTAGACAATTTAGGGTCATCCTTTCTCGTAGGTGCCCTGTATCTGGTCTCTTCCACACACAGAGCCTGGCCCTTCTGCCTTTCCACCATGCAAGGAAGCAGCCTGAGGCCCTCACCATTACCCAGACAGACCGGGCACCATGCTCTCGAACTTTTCACACTCCAGAACCTTGAGCTAAATAAACTCCCCTTCTTCATAACTTCTCCAGTTGTGGTTACTCTATTACAAGACGCCATGTTTTCAAACTGAATTAACTACTGTGTTAGTCAGCTTTCTGTCACTGAGATAAACACCGACGAGGAGGAAAGGCTGATCTGGCTCACAGCTTCAGTGGCTTCAGCCTGCAGTTATTTGCTTCTGTTGCTTTGGGCCTGGTATGAGGCAGCAAATCATGGTGGGGAGCACATATGGAGCAAAGCTGCTCCCCTCATGACAACCAGGAAGCGAAGAGGGAGAAGGAGGAGCTGAGGTCCCATCGTCCCCATCAACAGTACTTCCCCTGGACAGGATTTCCTCCCACCAGGCCCCACCTCCCAATAGTACCAGAAGCAGGTGTAGTGAATTGATAACTGGTGGTCAACTTATAACCCCCAGCTTAACTGAGTAAGCATGGTGCTGGGTGTGGGAGGCCCACCTGGGGAACTGCTGCCAGCAGCATAAGAGGCAGAACTGGAGAAGGAGAAGGCTGTTGGGAGTTGAGGGAGGTTGTTGGGAGCTGGTAGAAGCTGTAAGGAATTGTTGGTTCTGTTGGAGGAACTTGTCATGCTGGCTTTCCTGATGAACTCAGCTGTTTTCATCCTTCAAGGAGCTTGGGACTTTGTTGACACTGAGAATAGCTTCGGTTCACTTTGGGGGAGCTCTGGTCCTCACTCTGAGCATCACTTCCTGGCTCCGGAGGGAAAGAAGGTGCACAGCTCAGTCTCCTGGAGAAGCTTGCTGCGTTGGCTTTCCTGATGGGAACTCAGCTGTCTTCACCACCGGAAGAGCTCAGGACCTCACTGTTGCTGAGGATGGCTGGGGTACCTTCCGGCGGGGCTCTGGTTGTTATTTTGAGCATTGCTTCCTGGCTCCAGTGCAGATCCCTCAGCCTGCTAGGACAGATCCTTCATCCTGCTAGCACAGACTTCCTAGATTCCACCACTGGCCTTTGGGCCTTCCCAGCATAGATTCATGAAACAGGCCTGCATGAGACGTTGTTCTGGGTTCTGGGCCTCCAGTTGGACTTGTGGGAAGCATTGTTATGAGCTCTAGGCCTTCAGCCGGACTCATGCAGGACATTTCCATGGGACCTAGGCCCTTGGCTAGTTTCCTTAGTCTTAGTATGTGGACAGATTTCCTGTACTCTTTTGTATATCATTCTTTGGGTGACTATTATAAATAATCTATAAAATGTGTCTGTATTATATTGTTTCACCTTGCAAAATATCCCCCAAATCAAAACAGCAGGTGACCTCACCTTCCACACAGACTTCTACGAGACCTAACTACAGGAACTGCACCAGTCCTTAGACATGGATGGGACACGCTCTAACGGCGTGACGGGGTAATAGCAGGTGAACAAAAGAAGGCCTGTTAATCTCTGGGGCAGGAGTCTTAGAGATTTCAAAACAATGATGTTGGAGTCTCTGAGAGGAAAAAGGGACAAGGAAAAGAAATGTTTCTTTCTGGGTCCTGCTCAGAAATCAGACTTTTTTATTTGTAAGATACATTTTCGTATCTGGAATGAAGACAGACTAACAGGTATTATTCCTCTACAGTGACACATGAGAGTGAGACTGCCCTCTAACTATTCCTGAGTCACAAATGAAATGAGAGTTCCTGGAAACAGGTGTTTCTTCTGGTGAGTGGTTAACCACTGCCCAGGTTCATACATTAGATCAGACTGAGGGCTCGGACAGGGAATTTCACAACTCCTACCTGCTACCGTGCTGTGTGAATGAGACCATTGAGCACTGTGTAAACTCTACCTACCTAATGACTAGGCTGCTACTGACTTACAACCCAACCAGCTAAATGGGAGAAGTTTAATCTATGAAGAAACACGCCAATTTAGATCAGTTCATTATCAGCCTATCTCCTCAATTCTACTATACTATCACTCATAACAAAAGCTTTTTAGGATACTGCTATAAAATATGTATATGGATGAAAATGTATTCTAATCTTGAAATCGGTGTAACTGTGCAAAAACACATCTCAGAATTAGGAGACGCAGTGATAAAACATTTCCTGGGAGCCGCCTGTGGGCCGAGCACCAGGCTCAGAACGGTGCCATGAAGATGGGGCGACCTGCTCCCTGATGCCTATGCCCAGGAGCCAGGCTATCAGGTGCTCACACGCTTAGCTTTAAGGAACAAATTCTCACACATCACACAGAAGGAGAATCCCCATGGTGAAGACGGCAAAATACCAAACAGAAGAGCACTCACAAAGAGCAGCAGCAGCAACAAAAACAATCCACTGCAGCACCGGCGGGTGTGGCCCAGCTGAAAGGGTGCCGTTCCAACACTGTGAGCCGCAACCACGCCGCATGCCGCCAAACCCCCGCTGTCCCTGCTGCTGTACCGGGCGGACTGCACTGCCGGGTTCCAAGATTCCCAGACCCCACGGCTGAGTCCACACACAGGTGCAGACCTGCTCCGGCGGCTGGCAGGGCAGCCTGACCTCCAAGAGCGGGTCATGCAGTGCACAGACGTCACTCAGGACGGACACAGGGCCGACAGCAGCAGTCAGCTGGAAGTGAAACATTACAGAGACCCCGATCCTCCCCCCAGCCCTTTGTAACAATAAGCACAGTGCCACTATCCATCATGGTTTAAAATCCAACACAACATGTGTGTCTGGGGGGTGTGGGGAGAGAGGGGGCCTCACTCGCTTTGTCTTTAGCACTCACTGGAGTGTGTCTAGGTTCACTTGAGAGCACCAAGTCAAATGACGTTTTTGTGCTTCCTTGTTTGATGGTGGAAATGGTCAATCCCAAGTTCATGATTTTAAAAAAAAAAAAAGGGAGGCTGGGGATTTAGCTCAGCGGCAAAGCGCCTGCCTGGCAAGCACAAGGTCATGAGTTCGATTCCTGGTACCGGAAGAAAAAAAAATTTAAAAAAAATAGGACATGCAAGTTGTTTCTTTATGGTTTTAAAAAATAATTCTTGCTGAGCTGAGCTCAATGGGACAATGTGCGAGGCCCTGGGCTTATCTCCAGCACAGGAAAAAGAAGAAAACGTTCTCCTCAGCAGAGGAGTCAGTATCTGCCATCCATCTGCCCTAGCACAGCAAGGAGATACCAGTACATGTTCACCGGGGACAATGTTAATCTCAACTCATTATACAATTCCCTGGGCACAGAGAGTCCCTGCTTCTCATGACCCGCCGGCTTCTTAGAAACCGCATCGGTAGGAGAGCGGGTCACTGTGTAAAAATGAGGCAATGCTCACCTGTCAGAACGACCCAAATTCATCAGGCTGAGGCACCCAGAGTTGGCCCGGGTGGGGAAACAGACATGTACATGCCGTGGAAGGACATCTACATAAAATCAGCCAACAGCCTCTGGAAAAAGCCATTGGGCGATGTTAGAAAGTCAAAAGGGCATAGTCCTCTGCAAGTGTACCTTTAGATAAACACCTCAGAGAAACACTGACACACGGCCACGGAGAGGAACCCACTGTCTTACACTGAGATAAGACTGTAAGTCCTAACGGCCCAGTGCTCTGGTTGAATAACCTACGGCACATCTGTTCTTCATTACTAGCGAGCCGTTAAAGGGGGAGGACAGCCAGGTTTATCAACCCGGAGAGATGTTTCTCCACAGTACTGGGAGCTGAATACAGGGCCACGTGCATGCGAGGCCAGTGCTCTAACACTGAGCTGCACCCTAGTACTTTTTATTTTGAGACAGGGTCTCACTAAGTCACCCAGCTGGTCTCAACCATTTTTCTCCTGCCTCAGCCTCCTGAATGGTGGGATTACAGGCCTGACCCACACTGCCTGACTAGAGAGTTCTGGGAGGCACTGTCAACAGAGAAAACAAGTAACTTTTAAAAATTGTTTTAAGAACCTATTTTTGTTTAATGCATTGCCTATACACCATAATTACAGTGCGTAAATGTATCCGTGAGACCTAGGCCGCACCAGACTGATCACACAGCACGTACATCTGAGGGGACCCTCCGCACACAGGAGGAGTGATCAGGAGTCATTTGTGTTGTCTGCATTTCGGTGTACAGGCACTGAGGTGAGTTCACTGGGAAATTACATATAAATATCTTTTCTTTAAATTATGCTTTTATTCGCCTGTTTTTACTTCTTTTCCTTTTGTTGAATCTGGGTAAAATGCATCGTCTTCCCCACATGCTGCCGAGTGTGCGCATTAAAGGTACATTGTTCTCCACCCAGTGCACTCTTTTACGTTCAGACATCCTTTCTCACACTAGCCCACAGCCCCGCTCACCAGGGCTCAGCAACCAACATAAACAATAAATGGATTTGTAATTTTGACAAGTAAATTACAAAACTGGATTCGGAAAAGAATCACCCTATGTAAGCACAGATTAGAAAAGTCAATTTTTATTTTGATCTTAATCTTTTCCCCCACTTTCCAACTGTACATAATGATTACACACTAAGAATTGAATCAAAAAAATTCAGAACCAGTGATTTCAACACGGGTGATTGAGGGTATCTCCCCAGGACACTGGGCAACATCTGGTGAATTTTAGGTTGTCACAGCTGGGGGAATAACTGCCTCTATCAGCTATGTGGAAGGGACCTGGATGCCACTACAATGCATAGGACAGTCCCACTACAGAAAAGAATTATCTGGCCCAAAATATCAACAGTGCTGATATTAAGAACTTTTAATCTACATACACCACACGGAAGTCACATATAACTACTTACATTCCACTTCCTCGTTTTGTTTGTCTCTCCAGTATTTCATGGGATGGGGAGGAGCAGGGCTCGTACCTGAACTATGAACTGGTAGATCAGGACCAGGCTGACCAGCATGCTCATGTTGGCCAGGAGGGAGAAGACGGACAGGGCCCGGAGGTTCCGGATGAACACCAGCAGCACCAGGAAGGGCAGGAAGGCGAGCATGTAGAGGCGTGAGTCCATGGTGGGCATCAGGATCGCCGTCTCGTTGTTGTGGCAGTTGTTAGTGGTCCCGTTGGCAGCTTCTATCACCTAAAATGAGAGGAGGAAAGAAAACTCGCCAATGACGAAGCCAGCGGTGTCTCACAGGAAGCGGCCCCTGACTAAAGGCTCCATTCACAAATGAGGCCTCAGAGACACCCGCGGGCTGGGAGCCTTTCTTGGAGCTCCATGGTTATCAGTGGCAACCCAGCTGTCTGAGCCAGGTTTGACCGCATCTCACCCAAGACAGGATGGACAAGACATCTCGGGGTTTCCCTGCACTCCAGACTTGAGAGCTAAACGAAGAAAACTGTCTCTATAAAGTCTAAAACCTTAACTCTTCTGGTGACCAAAACTAAGGAACCCTAACTAGAAATGCAAATCTCTTGTCATTCTCTCTGTGATCAGGACCTACCTGTTTAAAGTTGTCAGCCAGAAACACAAAATAGACACAGCAGAACCCCAGCTGGGTGACAATCAGGAAGAAGTCCACCACGCGCCTGAGATGGGAAGAAAGAGTGTAAAGATCACCACAGAGCAGACGCAGGACTCCCAGGGAGACGGGCGCTTTCAAAGTGCTCTTAAAGGCATCACAGACCCTCCCCGGCAGGGGACAAGGACAAGCATGTCCCAGTAAGGGAAGACCCGTGTCGGCGCCACCAGCCTGGAGCTCTGGCGGAAGGACAGGAGGCGCTCACTACCTGTGTGGTTCCCGAGGCCCCTTTCCTGCTTTGCTGTCCAGAACTGCAGCATGAGCTCAGAAAATCGCCACAGCATAGCACAGGCTCCGTGGCCACCGCGTGGCCCTTGGCCTCCTCCCTCCCCACTGCCCACCTGCCCCATCTCGGGCCTTTGCTCCTAAAGCCACAGGGAGCCCCTGAAATAAAAGACCCGGAAGAACAACCTTCATGGGCTCTTCCTATAAACTGTACCCAAAAACTGACCTAAAAACAAAGAAATAAACGTACCCAGACAGATTGCTGGTGGGAGCACAGTTATACAACAGCTGACGACAACCAAAAAGGGCCATCCAAAGGAAAGCAATTAAATTATAGATCATTCCTAAATGGGACACTGGCAGGTAGCTGCAAAGAATGTGTTAAATCTGTATGTGCTGATAGAGAAAAATACCTAAGACATTTAAGGGGAAAAAGCAAATTTCCAAACAGTATCTAATATGGCTTATGTATGCAAAAAAAATTTACAACATGTGAATGTCCGTGTGTGCGTGTGTGTGTGTGTGTGTATATGTGTGTGTGTGTGTGTGTGTATATGTGTGTGTATAGAAAGTTCCAGAAGGGTACCCATGTAACTGTGTAAAAGTATTTACTCTTAACTTTATGTCCTTCTATCTTGTTAAAAAATGCTTTTCCCATGAGAACACATTTTATGAAAGGGGAGGGTTTTGGAAAGACAGGGAGAAGAGAAAGGAGGAAGAATTAACGAGCAACCAAGCAACTCACAGCGAGCACTCGCCAATCAGACTGCATCACAGGATGAGTTTCCTCTCTAACCCCCAAAAAGGAACTTTATTCTAAAGAACACAGCTTTAACTGAGGCCAGAGAAAAAAGGGGTACATGGTCCAAGGTCACGCAGCTCTCCACAACGACCCAAGAAGCCCTCCCCACTCCTGACGCGGCCCCCCCTCCTTATCCGAAGGCCTCTGCTCTGGGAGGCCACTGTGGAGAGGACACAGGGAACCAGTTACCTTCCCCAGTGGGCGTGGTTCCGGAGCCAGGCGCTGGGGCTGGATTCTAGTCCGTACATCACTGTGTCCCCGTAGTCCACAAAGGGTTTGTTCAGTCTGCGAACGGGAAGGGACAGACAAAAGGTAGAGAGTGTGGATGAGCCAGTGACAGTGACACAACTAATGGAGCCACTGAGACCTAGGACGGTCACCCTCGAGGTTCCACTCTTGAGCCCTCCATCGAATGCTCTCAAGGACCCCAAGCGTTCGGCCCACAGGACAGTTACTTTCGCTGTAATTCACAACCACCTTGTACAACCGTTTCAGTGGCAATGGAGTAAACGCTAGAAAGCACATGGAATTCCACTGCAGTCTCTGTCCCTGGGACCTGAGTAAGTTTAATAAATGACAACAGGCCAAACGAGAACACACAATGAACCGGGGAAAGGAGGTGCTTCAGTAATAAGCAGCCATCCTCTGATTGTGGGCAGAACTGAGCACAAGCCGTGTGAATTCCCGCTTCCGGGATTGGTAAAGAAACCGGAAGCACCAGTTTGTCCCGTGAGAGGCAGCTCAGGGCTCTCACCTGCAGCAAAAGTGGCGTGCACACTTCACCAGGAGGCCCATGCAGTGCACGGCCGCAATGCCGATCACCAGCAGGCTGAGGGGACCCAACTGGGACGGTGTTACAGACAGAAGAGGAGAAAGAAACAGGTAGAGTTAAGAGTGAGACCAACGGAGATTCGATTTACAAATGACTGAAATGCTACGAAGCCCTTTCTGGGGTTAGAACTCCTGGCCCAGCGTGGGAGAAAAGCGAGATCTGAGCTTTGCTCCAGTCTCATGGAGAATGACTCTAGTAAGTCCCTTCCAAGACCGCCGCACGTCAGCCGAAGTTCCTGTGACTATGGGGAGATGACTAAGGGACATGGGGGGAGGGGAAGGCATCATCATGGCAAGGGCACCCCAAGAAAGACAGCTGTTAGCTGAGGATGACCCACGTCTCTGCACCAGAATGGCTTTGGGCGGGCCATCCAGATGAATCCTAAAGAGAGGACGTAAGATTCTCAGGGGCAGCCACACAGGGATGAATGGATAGCTCGATTTTGCTTTTTTAGGTGATTTTTTTTTTTAAAAAAGCTTCTCTATTTATAGTGTTTTAAGTGAAACAGTCAAAAAATAAAACACCCTCTCCTGAAACTTGTCACAATACCTCCCCACACCAGACAGACCCTTACCAAGATGCCTGCATTTTTCACCGCCAGAGGCAACCCCAGGAGTCCCGTACCAATGTTGCCTTTTAACAGGTGGATCAGGGTCTGGAACCATCTGAGGCAGAAGGAAGGGAGACAGGGACAAGTTAACCACGATGACAGCTCAGGCTTAAGAAGCGCCCAGCACCATGCTAAGTGCCCACACGCATTCTCCCGCTGGATTTCTACAAGAACCCTATCACAGTTGGTTTTATGCAAACGGAAGCAACTGGCTCAGAGGTCACACACCTCTCAAGGAGCTGAGCCGGGATCCCAGCCCAGGCAGACTGAGCCCAGAGCTCACGCTTACCCACCATGCCCAGGCCTCGCCAAGGGACGCGGGCTCTCTCTATGCACTCTACCCTGTCCTCCGGATCTGGGCCTGCTTCTAGCTGCCGAGCTGACTCTCAAAAATAGCAACAGAGGACACACGAAGGACAGACGGTGGTGGGAGAGAAGCCCAGGTAAAAGTCAGGCAGCACAGTAGAGGCTGGAGGTCCCTGCTGCACTGGGAATTGAAAACAACATTAACTGCTGACTCATCCTAGCATTGGAGAAGCTGTCTCTGAGAGTCACCTACCTGGTTACCCAGTTCTCCTTCTGACTGGGGGCAAACTTTCCCTCCTCTGCTGGTGTTCCCTAGGTCGCACAGGTAAAGCCCCTCATTCAGTTCTTTACCATCTACCGTGTGAAAGCAGTGTTAACTGCAGCACTGGAAACAGGTAAGAATCAGATGAGGAGCTCAGTTTCTGAAAATCAGTAATGCAAGGAAAATAAGGGGACACATTCATAAGCACGCGCAGTAGAAAGAGCCCCGTCTGAAGAGCAGGCCAGGACAGCGCTCAGGGAAAAGGGCCCAGGTAAGGCTTGGAAGGGCGGGCAGACCAGGGTCCAGCAGGACACACAGGGTAGTACAGGAACCACTGGGGAGGAAGAGTCCACCAGGGAGAAGCGGAGGCCAGGTGAAAGGACCCCAGAGAGAAAGTGAGGCATGCCAGGAGCACTGTGCCCCAGCAGCTGCATGGCTGGAGGAAGGGGCGGGTGTGGGAAGAGCCTGCAGGGGAGTCCCCATGAGTGAGGACTCACCAAGGACAGACAACAGAAGTGCACACTTGTCTTGGTATTTTTCTTGTCCTTTGTTACATCCAAAGAAAAACGAAATAAGCCAAACGCACTGTCACTTGGTCTAAAGCCACTCAGGATTTGGCCCCTGACAATGTCTGGACATCCTTCTGCACTGACAACATAAATCTCTCAACACTGTCACTTACACACATTTTTTTTCAAGTTTGAAATCCCCAAGTGACACTTGTTGCACATAAAGGCCCTTAATAAGACCCAGCCAGCCCCTCTGGAAAATAGTTCTACCCTTCTCCTCTGACCCACTGGAAGAAAAGCTCAATCCTCCCACTCCGCTCCATGTTTTTAGGAAAGATCAAGAAAACAGCTGGGGGTTACCAGGGCCCAGGGACATTATCAGCAGCCAGTGACCAGGGGGTAATGAGCCCATTAAACTTCTATCTTGGTGAATGTTTAATCCACTTGGCGCAAGGGTAAATGCTGTACCAAAGCCATCTCTCAATGCCTCTGGCCCCCGTCGCCCCCAAGCGAACAAATCCCTCACCTCCCCTGGGCTGCTGTTTCGTCTACAAAGACAGGGACCCTGACCAGGACAAGATGGTTTGTGTGATCCCTCAGAAAAACCAGGAAGCTGGGCCACTGATCCAAACAGCTCTTTGCAAAAGATGGCCCTGAAGTGAGACTACCCAATACTACGTGCGCATCAGAAAACCAACTCGGGCAGGCAAGTCCTAGCCACAGGGTGGACCGTCCTTCTGAACAGGGAAGAGAAAAGCCTAGCAAAACTCTGTAGTCTCCTTTTTGGTGGAGCGGGGTACCTGGAGTCGAATTCAGGACCTCACGCTTTCCAGGCAGGCAATGCACCACTGAGCTAAATCCCCGGCCCTGCAGTCCCATTTATACGCCATCAGTAGTTCTTACTCCGTTTTGGTCTCATGACCTCTTTACTCCCTGGTAAATTAAGGACCCCAAATAGCTTTTGTTGATGTGGATTATATCTGCCTGATATATATCTCAAAAATTACAGCAGAAAATTTTTAAATATTTAATTAAAAATAACAATTTCATTATACGCTAATACAAGTAACATTTTATAAAAAGTAACTCCATTTTCAAAAAAAACTGTGAAAATGGTACTTTTTTTTAACGACTTCAATGCCTTGCTTAACTGAAGACAGAAAATTTGTTCTCTCTAGACATGTAGTTGGACAAGGAAGTCGTATCCATTATGGGGATTTTTCTTTCCCACTACTTCAAAATGAAACACATGATAGTTTCTTAGATGTTAGCTGCAAGGTGCAATGTGTGAACTTTTTATACTTTATTACATTTAAATCCACTGGTGATCTCGCTCTTTGGTGGATCTTTTACCTATGCACAATTCCTGACATCATTCAAATTCATTGGTGGTCTAGCTTTGGTTATTCAATGGATATTGGTCCCCTGATTAGGCAAATCCTCCAAACACTAACACCTTTCAGGACACAACCCCAAAAAACCACACTGGTTAATCACTGCTGGTCTCACCAGGGAAGTTTCATGTAAAGGGAAGCTGTCAGCTCACAAAGCTGGACAAAAGGAGGTTTTGTTGTTGTTTCTTTTTTTTGCCGTTGTTTCTAATTTCGCTTGAAAGCTCACATTTCACTGTGGGCAACAAACACTTTTTCTTGAGTTGATGGGTTTGTTTCTTTCATTTCCAAGAAGACAGGTCCATTTCTTTCACTTCCAAGAAAATGCCAACCACTGAGTTCTGACTGAACTATAGTTAGTTGTTCTTTCTAGTAAAATGAGTGTTTTTTAAAAAGCAGCTAGTTCAAACAGCTGCTACAGGACCCACTGCAGACTCTGCCTTGAGACAAGTATCACACGTTGGCATTTTTCATTGGTGCTTCTGTCTCTGTCATTACGGACAGCCCTGTACTGAAGGGTTGTGAATAAAATTCGTGATTTGGCTAACTTTATTTATTTTTTAAATTTTTAGGCTAACGTTATTTTGAACATTCTTGAGTGAAACTGGATTTTTTTCTCTTCCTTACATATGGCAGTGGAAAATACAACAATGACCAGCATCATCCGTCACCACTACCTCATTCCTGCCACGGTACCTGCCGTTTTACCGGCACCGTGCCTATCCCATCAGTGTAAATGTCGCCGCGGCGAAAGGCCAACATCTTAGTGTTATGAAGTCTGTCCCCTCAGACTTGTTGGAATGAGTTGGGCTCCCCAAGAGACCGCAGATCACATTTGGCAAAGGGCTGCTCTAGCTCACCCAGGGAGGGCCAGTTCCACTCAGCTGGTTTCTCAGCCCGCCCGTCTGGGGCAGAAGCACCGAGGCACAATCCCTAGCTGCTATTATGTGACTCATCAAGATGGAAAATGTGCGCAACATGTAAACCGAGGCTGCTGTCAGTGAATTCAACAGCTTGATAACATCAAACGTTAAGAAACAGTTTCATTAAACACATCATCATGGAAATGTCTGGGGTTCCCCCTCGCACCCCATAATTAGAGGGCTGAACTGAACCCTTAACTTCCAGAAGAACCAGTGGGTAGTCTGTGTATATGCAATAGGCTAATAGACATTTCCAGCACTTTGTTCATTGGCAAACTACATAGCAGGGTAGGGCAAGCACAGAGACAAGGAACCCAGTTCAAAACTTGTCCCTAACACATCCTACATATCAGAGGTTCACTCAGGCTAACAAGGGTCCCAAAGCAACCTGGAACTGACTCATACTGGACATGTTCTCTAAGTGCGTGTGCAGCTCCTGTGCTCCTGGATGGAAATAACAAATTTTCCGGGTCATAAAGGAATCCTTCTCCCTGGACCAACTGTGATGGGGCTGCAAGACCTGTATCAGCTACAGATGGGCTTTTCTGGTCCCTACTGCACATGGCAATGCCGGAGCAGGACGGGAAGCCCAGAACCAAGTATGCCCTAGAAAACATCCCAATCTAAGCCCAAGCCAAGTGTCTTTTAGTGTGCTCAAATTTTAACAAGGGGAAATAATTTTGGATTGGCTATTAGCTATAACCCTATGAGGGAAAAAGATACTCAGAATGCATCCTTCCACACTTCCAAAACCTACAGGTGCCTGTCCTGAAACAGCCTGCTGGTTAGTTTTGTGCTTTCCAGGTCACTATAAAAATGAAGGTCTGGACAAGCATAGATAAGTTGATGCCTCAGAACTTGGGACAAAAACTGGAAGGGAAACTTCAGAGAGAGAAACTTGGAGGGACTATTGTGCAAGAACAGCCCCCACAGGGAAGCTGACACAGGCCACTGGCTGAGCATGGTGCTCCTTCTGCCCGGGAGACAATGGGGTGGACAAGGTTCGGGGACAGAGGGGAAGGGTGGCCCTTACTATGACAGCTGCACTTGAAGCCATCTTTTCCATCAGCTAAAACTGCAAGCAAATGGAAACTACAAAAGCACATCATGTGAGACAGAAGCCACAAAACCAGAATCTTGCGTACAGAAAGCAGCTAGTGGTGGCCAGGGCTGGTCATACAGACAGACCAAGTCCTCTAATCCATTCCGGTTCCCAAGAGGCAATGCCCTTCCCAGGAGAGAGTGCGGGCAGGACCTTCTTCAGAGAGGGCTCCGAGACAAGTCCCCATGGTCCCATGGACAGTCACAGGGGCCGCACAACACTAGGGCACAGAGGGACTTTCTCCCTCTTCTCCCTCCTGCAGCCAGAGGAGGGGGCTCCTCAGCGAGACGGCAGAAGTCAGGGCAGAATCAGCCAAGGAGGCGCCCAACTGGGCTTGGGGCACTTGAGTTCTAGTGCAGATGACACATGGCTGTGAAATGAGAGGATGTCCCCACTACACGCTTAAGTCCAAGCTCTTACTGAGCACCAGTGTTCTGAGACAAAGAACCGAGACAAAGAGTAAGGAACGGGGTGGCGGGCAAGAGTGTGAGCCTCAGCGCGGTCACCTGCCCTGTGTCTTTGTAGCTCACTTTCAGCTCGAAAGCGCGGAACTGACAAAAGGGGAGTGGGACCGTCACTCGAAGGCAGACTTGGGAACGTGACTCCCACCCAGGAGAGGACAAGGTCACAGCTACTCACGTCGTGCTGTTGCTTTCCCCCAAACGCTGGTAGGCACCGGGTGGTAAGTTGCCCAGGCTCTCCGAAGGGCTCTCCTCGGGGCTCACATCGGTGGAGCTGTAGTCCTGGTAGTCTTCGTTCCGGAGTCTCTGCGTGGACATGGTAGCTGGGGGGACAGGGCCGGCATGAACACCTGCAGCAGCTGGGGCCTTGAGCTCCAGGCCTGGGGTGGGCTCTGGGGTAGGAGCAGCCATGGTCACAGTCGCTCCCTGTGCCAGCTGCACTGTGGATTAAGTACAACCGGAGCGCCTGGTACCAAGAGAAATCCAAGAGGTGCAAAGTACACAGGGGCAGGCTGAGCTCGCTCGGCTTGTGCTCCCAACCTTCCCGGTGCATGCCACTCATAAATGTTTAAGTCTGTCATGGTGCACCTGAATAAAGCGGAGGTGAGGCAACGCTGGGGCGGGCAGGGCTGGTGCAAACAAACACTTCCAAGAAGCCTTCCCTGTTCCTTCTGCCAGGGCGAACTGCTCCTTCCGCGGAGCTCATTGCTTGAACAATAGTATGTCCCACGTCTTTCCCAAGAGCAAGCTCTCAGACGATGGGTATTTCTCACTGGACCCCTTTCTCCTTTCCCTTCACCCAAGAATCTCATTGCACATGACCTTGTTGCCTGTGGTAGCATGAATAGGCCCTGAGTATCATTGAAAAAAGGGGAGGAGAGAGAAGAGAGGAGAGGAAAGGAGGGGAGAAGAGGGCAGGAGTATGGGAGGGGAGGAGAGCGGAGGGGAGGGGAGAAGGGAGGGGAGGGAAGGGGAAGGCCCACCCTCCGGATCTTTCAGTCCTGTTCAAACTCCCCACTGGGTTCAAGAACCACCAATGTCGATCTCCTTTCCAGCATGACCTCAGGCTTGTCCTGTACTCTTCGGAGGTTATCAGGAGCTGGGCACTATGCACACATCTATAAGCCCAGCACTCTGGGAAGCTAACACAAGACAGTCGCAGATTAGAGCCCAGCTGGGCAACTCAGCAAGACCCTGCCCCAAAACTTCAGTTTTGTTGTTGTTGTTGTGAAAGGTCTGAGGATGCAGCTTGGTGTGAAGCTCTGGGATCGATCCCCAGAGCCACACGAGAACTGATCAGAAAGCCTCTTCGCCTAACCCTACGGCTCCCCGCTTGCTGCCAACTTGAGTAGTGAGAAAGGGCAGCTAGGGGCAGCTCAGAGAATGACCAAGAACATGAGGGAACCCGAGGCACTGACCCTTTCCTTATCTGTCTACAACCGTTGACTGGGGCTTAGGATTCTAACTACACTGGGTCTTTTTAGAGGAGCCCTGAGGCTTCGGAGGCAGCCTCACCAGCGGCCTCCGACTTCTCCTCTCCAGCTGCCCAGTCCAGCTTCTCCCCGAGCCCAGGCACAGGTACCAGAGTCCCACTTCCCCGGCCAGGTCCTAGATACCGGAGCACCTCTCCTCTCCCCAAGGCCACCACCAAACCTAGAAAGGCTGCTTTTTCTCTTTGCCCTATTCCTGTGAGGATCCTCGTTCCACAGCATCTATCCCTGGCTATGAGGAAGGGATCTGACACAGAGGCCAAGAAGAATGTGACTACTCAGGCTTTGCTGGGTTTCCCTCTCAGGACTAACCTCCGTGCCTTCTTTTGCACTTTTCAGACAAGGTCTCACTAAGGATCTAAGTTGCCCAGGCTAGCTCGACCTTGTAATTCTCAGAGGGCCGGGATTATAGGCATCTGCCATCATGTCTAGTTTGTGTCTTCATTTCTGGAGGACTCTGTCATATAAAACTTAGATTAAACAAATGTTATCCTTGACTCATTAAACCCACCTTTTACAGGAGTGTTAGCAGTGACCTTTATGAAGGGGAGGGAAGGGCTCACACCCCTTTTTCTCCCTATACCATCTTCCTTCTGATTTTTATGAGTTTGCTCAATTTTTAAAGATGGTGAGAGAAGCAACCCTTCCTGTTGTGTCTGGGTGAAGGTTGGTAAGGGTGGAGTCCCATGGGTGGATTCTCTTCATGAGGCTGCTACAGAAAAGCAGGAACAAGGGCTGCTCTGAGACACATCATGAGGAACCCTCTGGGAGCTGTAGAAGCTCCCAAAGACCTGGAGAATGCTGCTAAATGCATCTTCAAGGGTCACTCAAATCCCTCATCTTACACATGAATACTGAACCCCCAAAGATGAAGGCTCTGCCCTGCTATAGGGAGGGAGCAGCAAAGCAGAAAATGTGTGTCCAATGCTCTGAACTTGAACACCTGATGAAAGCCTTACCTCTCACTACATAAAACTTTGGGGGGACATTCTAGATCTAAATCACAACACACCCAGCACCAGCTGCCAGAAGACAGCTGTCTACTAAGGACGCCTCAAAGGGCCAGTTCCTGGAAACTACTGAAAACTAGCCACACCCTGGCACCAGGTGATCCATTCTCTCCCACTGTTATGGCTTAGAGCTAGATGTCCTCTCAAAATCTCATACACTCATAGATGGAGGCTTTTGGGAGGTGACTGGAGCATGGCTATGTGGTACCAGGACATGGGTGTGTGATACTGGATTAGTCCATTAATGGGTTTTAGCTGAGGGTAATGTTGGGAAGTGAGAGTTGGTGGGAAGAGGTGGGTCACTGTGGATGCTGCCTAGAACAGTATATATCCCCCCTCCTCCTCCTTTCATCCCTCCCTGCTTCCTGCTGCCACGTCATGAACTCTTTCTCCTCTGCCATGCTGCTCTGCCTTGGGGCCAGCCAACTATGGACTGAAACCTCTACAAACTGTGAGCTATAAAACCCCTTCCTCCTTTTAACTTGTGGGTAATTAGGTATTTTGTCCCCGAAATGAGAAAGTAACTAAGACAGACTTTGGTACCAGAAGTGGGGTTGTTGCTGGAACTATACATAGCCATGTGATTCAGAAGCCTTAGGAAATGGTTTGTAGGAAGAGTTTGAAAAGTTTGAGAAGGGGCCAGGATGTGGCACAGTGGCACAAGTGCCTGCCTGGCAAGCGCAAGGTCCTGAGTTCGATCCCTGGTACCAAAAAAAAAGAAAAGAAAGAAAGAGAAATGATGGCTGGAGAAGCAGCCATAGAATGCTGTGAACAGAGCTTGATATGAGATTCTAATCAGAGCTCAGAAGACCACAACACTGACAGAAATGAAGCTGGTGAAGATCAGGCTCAGGAGGTTTCAGTTGGGAACAAAGACTGCATTGGCAGTTGGACTCCAGGCCATGTGTGTTATAGCTTGGCAGAAATTTTATCTACATTTTGCTCATGTCCAGAGACATTGTAGGAGTCTGCGATTAAGGGAAGCACACTAATTAATCTAGTGGAAGAAATTTCAAGGCAATATAAAATGCTGAGGTGGTGGCATGGCTACTGTTGGGGGCTTTTAGCCAGTTATACCTTCAAAATCAAGAGCGAATGTCCCAGCACAATAATTTTAAAAGTTTTGAGTTTGGCTACGTAAGGAAACTCTGGTAAAGTTGCGACCTACAAAGATGGAACAGAGAAGAACCTGGTTGCTAAGAAGGAACAGGACAATAGAAAAGATGGCCTGAGAGCATCACAAGAACCAGCAGGACTCTACTCTCTGCAGGGTCAAAATTGCAAATGTGAAAGACTTTGCTTTGAGAAGAGAATCCCAAGTGTTCCAGAATGGTGGGTCCTAGGAAATTTGTCCCTTAGGATTGGGTTTATAATGCTCAGCAATTCAGGTATTCAACCCCTACAGCGAAGAAAGAAGGAAACCTGGCTACTTCTCCAACTGGAGGCACATCTTGGGATCATCCATATAGTACTGGTTTTAGGCACATGTAGAATACAAGAATTCTACCCAAACTTCAGAAAAAAGGCCTGAAAGGCCAGGCAGTGTGTCCCTAAGAAAGCTATGTATGAAGCTGAAAGTGCAGTGTAGACCCTAAAAGAGAGAAGCAGGAATATGGATTGTCTGAGCAAAGCCAGGAGTAAGCAAAGCCAGCCCGAAAGAGAAGCCATGAGGGACACAACCACTGATAGTGCCACAGTGGTGGGCACCCAAGCCCTCTGGATTTTACATCTTTCCACAGATTAATTACCCTGCATGATGGACATAGAATGATGGGATTTGACACTTGCCTGCTGGACTTTGGTCTTGCTTTGGTCCCACTCCTCTCTATCCCCCTGTACCATATATGGAATGGGAATGTTTATCTTGTGCCACTGTATGTTTAACTTTCTTTTCATTCTTACAGGGGCTCCCAGTTAAGACTCTGCCTTAAATCTCAGAGGAGATTTTGGACATGGACTTTTCAACAATGCTGAAACTGTTAGGGCTTTTGGCAACTCTTGGAGATGGACTATATGCATTCTGCATAAAAAGACACACGTGAGTCTTTTGGGGGCCAGGAGCAGAATGTTATGGCTTAGATCTAGCTGCCCCCACAAAGTCACATGCATTCATAGGTGGGGCTTTTTGGAGGTGACTGGAGTGTGGGTGTGTGGTACTGGGTTAGTTCACTGATGGGTTTTAGCTGGGTGTGATATTGGGAAATGAGGCCTGGTGGCAGAAATGGGTCCCTGTGGGTGCCGCCCAGAACAGGATACATCCTCCTCCTCCCTTCATCCCTCCCTGCTTCCTGGTGCCATATCATGAACTCTTTCTCCTCTGCCATGACCTTTTACCATGCTACCTTGACTTGGAATCATCCATATAGTGCTGGTTTTAGACACATGCAGAATGCAAGTCCAGCTGACTATGGACTGAAACCTCTACAAAATGTAAGCCAAGATAAACCTTCCCTCCTTCACCTTGTGGGTATTAGTCATTTTGTCCCAGCAATAAGAAAATAACTAAGATACCCACCAACTGGAACATAGGAAAGACCTTACAGAATCTCACAAGGAAAGTACTTCATGGAAAGTCAGTAACAGACCTAAGCCTGTTTTCTGTTTCTATAACAAAATACCTGAGGCTGGGTAATTTATAAAGAAAAGAGCCCACTGTCCTGAAGGCCCAAGACTGTCCAAGAGTGGGGCACCAGCATGTACTTGGCCTCTGTGGAGGGCCCCATGGTTGCATGGCAGAAAAATGGAAAGCCAGTGAGCACATGAGGAAGAGAGGTCACATGGTGAGAGAGATAAAGGGGAGGTGCCAGGATCACTTCATAACAA